AATGGTGGGGATGGTGAGGAATGGTGGAGATGGTGGGGATGGTGGAGATGGCCAGGATGGTTATGGCAGTGGTGAAGGTGATGTTTATGGTGATAGGAGCAGAGTAGTACAAGTTAACTACAGTGGGAGTTTGGAGTCATCTTCTAAGGTTTGAGACTATAAAATTCTCCAAAATCTTCCTCGTCTCTCCAATACATCTCCGCTCCATGACCAAGCCAGGCTTTAGCGAATCCGTACTGATCTAATAAGCATCACAACAATCGCAGTCGTCTCTGGCTTGCACGACGAGTCCAAACGAACAACGCTAGTCAAACGGATTTGTGATTATATGGACTCAATCAAATTAAGAGGGAACTGCAACGAGCATCGACTGCGTCCGTCCCTGCTGCCGCAGATAAGCAGCGTTCAATCAACATCAAGCACGGATGGAGTCATTATCAAGAAGATTTACAGTAATTTAGAGATTCTTGGTCTGATATACATTAATTGATTATCTATCACAATACACAGTGAAATTATGAACAGATAAATCAGTCAAAAACTACATCCCGCGCGTAATTTCAAGAAAATATGTTTCCCTCTATTGCTGATTTTTCTTTCAAGAAATTACTACGTCATCTACCAAAGGAAAATTTGAAGCAACTGATTGAAATAATATGGAGGTGGGGAAAAACTTGGCAAAAACCTAAGAACTCATTAACCTTTTTTTATTCAAAGCACATACTTCTCCCAAAAAGGCCTGACCTCTCGTATGTTTACCTGAGAGCATACGAGTTATGCATGAATGTTTACCAACTACTGGTAATCCACTCCCCTGCTGATATGTTTTCCTTTTATTCAAAGATCCAAGCCGCCTCTACTTATAATCTTTTATGTAAACATATCGTAATACTACTCGGACAGAAGGTTTGTGGATATCTACTGCTTTCAAGCCATGAATTCAACAACGGACCTAGAAGAGCAAAATAGTTCAAATTGTTTGTAAAATTACTGAATCGGAAATCAAGCATAGCGCATTCATACAGTTGCAACTGGTTTTTGATGGAAAAAAGCTACGAATTTTTTTTTT